TTAAAGTGTATACTCGGGTATACTGTTTGTCCTCAACAAATTGAGCCACAGGGGAACTTGTATAAATTGTAATAATGGTACAATAGAATTCAGTTGTGTGTGATTCGCAAATGAATAAATTCATTGAAGTAAGCCATCAGTTAAGTAGAATAATCTGTCTTAGTTGACAAAAATATTTATTAGGCAGTTAATTATTTTATTGAGTTTATAAGGATTTATATCAGCTCACAGGAGAAAGGAAAAGGTTTGAAAGGAGTTAGCTGGAGATTTGGGAAAGAATGGTGAAGTTACTCTGCTTTTTTTACAGTAGATTTTTGACAGCTTTTGTTAATTCTAAGACTTATTAAGCAGACTAATCGATACACAGGGTAAGACTTTAATTGCTTATAGGCCTACAATCAAGTATAGTTTTGAAGACCTGGTTAAAAATGTAAACACTAATTAATCATTACACATAAAAGTAAATTGACATAAAATCTTACTATATGTTACTTATGTGGACTGTTGGACATTTTATCATTCCTTGTCCTTGTAGTTAGATGTCTGCCTCAGTGTTTCCAAATTGTTTATCTGTTTTGCTCAATCATTTCTGTGAGGTGACTGCTGTTACGATTAAATAAATTGAACTGAAATTGCACAACAACCTATTTTCGCCCACATTTTTGCGGTAACAGCAAAATGATTATAATATGGTCAAAATATCTAGCAAATAATAACTTGTCTAGTTTTATTTTTAAAAGATAGACAAAACAAAACAAGCCAAGTGAGTGAAGATTGTTGATATATGTATAATTATTTACACATCAGTATTCGGTAATACTTTAAAATAACTACACTTTTAATAGCCTTCATGAAGTGTGAACAGACTTAATTCATAATGAACAAATGATTTATTAACAATGATCCAGGCATAGTAACTACTTAATTAATAACCCTAACTCCTAACCCTAACCCAAGTAGTTACTAAGCCTGTATTCTTGTTCATAAACTATTTGCTCATTATTAATTTAATCTTTGTTCATGCTTTTTAAGGCTAATTAAGATATAGTTACTGTAAAGAGATACTCAATATTCTATTACTTCAAAAGTTCAAACATACCCTCTCTTTCAGAGTTTTTCTTTTCTTTACATGTACTACTTTCTAAAAAACAAAAAGAAAATAAAAGTGATTTAACCTTTTTTTACTACATAAATCCATACATCTTGCGTCATAATTTTGATGTCTTCTGTATACATCTAAAATGTTGAAAGCAGTGAAAATTAAGAAAAATCTAGTATAAGATAACTGTGTATTTATGATCTAGTATTTTAGTTCCAGATTAGTGTTCTTCTCCCTTCATATCTGTCTTAGTGTGTAAAAGGACTTTGTTATGTTGTGTCACAGTTGTGGTGCATCACAGTTGGAGTGGGGCAGAATTGGCCTGGGACTAGAGCTGTGGAGTAATCCCAAATGCGGGCAGGCGTTTGAATACACTTGACACGGTGCCAGACTGCTTTAAGGCGACATACACACCTGTGGAGGGGGGCTGTCCCGTGAGGAGAGAGGGAGGGAAGTTTCTTACATGCTGCTTTAGCTATTTTTGTCGAGGATGATCTAACTTTGATGTAGGACTGGGAGACCTGACAAAAATGTATCATATCTTTCCCTTCATATTGATTATGATGTCTTATTAAATACAAAGTAGGCATTCAGTATTCATTTCTTTATACAATATAGTATACAATTTCTTAATTGATTTTTGTTGTAATACAATAACATTTGAGCCATAAAAGGTTGAATAAGTGAAGCGAATTATTTGTTCTTTCTGCTATTTGTTTGTTGGCGCTCAGACCTTTTAAAGATACTGTCTATTTAATACTGGTATACTAGGATTATATTGTGTTATTTTTTATTGTGTCAGTGGCATGAAGTAGGTTAAATATTATCGTTAGTTGCAGTACATCTGTGTAGCAATATATCATGCTTTAAAATTTGTTATTGTGACAGGCCTAATTCCTATTTGTGTTAATAATAGAATTATCTGTATGTTGCAATAAAAATTTAGAAATTTTAAAATCTTGGATCCAGAACAAAACCCTTAGTTTTGTAACTGTAATTTTTTAATTGACTGTAGACAGCATAGTTATGTATTAAAGACCTCCTAAAATTGCCTAAAAAACTATTCACAAAAACCTCTAAAGCTCCATTTCTTTTTGTCCTGTCTCACTCTCACTTTTCCAATACTCATAGCTTAATGCCCACCCATTTTACATAACTATAAAAGTCCACAACATTGCATGTGATAATGAGTATTACTCTGTATAGTGCATTGTTTTGTATTGCTTTCTAATAGGGTATGTGTGAAACTTTTAAGACTTCACTAGCCTGACTTTGACAGCCTTTTAAATTCATATTCAGCATTTGTTGTTTATTTTCTATGTCTTTGCTCTTTGTGTTTGCATGGATCGTTTTCTTCGGCCGTGACTCTGCTAACCCATGTGTATGATCAAGCAGTATGTTCTCCTCCTCCTCCATACTTTATCTACAATAGGGGTCGCGACCTTTCAACTCTGCCACCCACCACTTTACACCCACACCATTTGAACCAGGCCTGTCTTTTTTGATACTTCACTGCTTGTTATGGTGAAGACAGAAAAACTCCTTTCGGGCCCAGTATTATTGCAGTATTGGCCTATAGTTATCAATGTACAGAAATTGTAACCTCCAAGATATCCGGTAGCCTTGAGCATCAATACAGGCTTCATGCCATGTCTGCTGCTTTGAAGTGCACATTTAAAGAGACTGCAGTAGAAAAATATGTCATTGAATCTCTTCAGCCCTTTGCATTAGCTGTAAAAATGTAATGAAAGAAATCGACTCTTGATGCATATTTTAGTGCCTGATGTCTCTAAAACAAACAGTGTTAGTTTATGAGTAAATGAGAGAGCTGGCAGGGCAGGTTGGGTGTGGGAGGGGGTTGTAGACGAATAGCAATAATGGAGCGCTATAGCGGTGTTGCCTTGAATACCAGCAGTGATAAAGGTACTCCAGACAGCATCGGTGCACCATGTCTAGACACTGTCTCTGAGGATGAATGGCACTCCAGTTACCAATGGCAGCCCTGGCCATGCTCTCGTACAGACAGATGTCACCACGTCTTCTTACAGTAACAGTTCACTAACTTTTATCTCCAACAAAGTTTGACCCAAGTCACAGGAACTAATCCCAAAATAACAGCCTCTGCTGCAGAGCTCCTTACACTTGTTGTCACCCTGTGTCTCTCCCAGCACCTTGTAAGGCTCTGATATCTCTGTGAGGCTGCTAATAAGAGGCTCCGTGGGGAAGTCCCCCTTAAAATATATTTACAGTACTGTCATTGTATTTGTATAGTAACATGTTTACTGTTTTTGATGCTTGTGATACAATCTTTCTGTGGTTAAAACAGCATTGATGCAGGACCACATTACAAGATGTAAGAGGCGTTTAAAAAGTGCAGAAATGAAACTCCATCAAGAGACACTTAAATGTCAATGGATGACAAGAGCATAAGAGCGTCTCAGAAAATGTCAAACATGAGGGCTGCAGAGCTGTGCAGAGCAGTACCATTGACCTGTGCATCACATGTGTTTACTCTGTCTGCTGCAGTCACACAAAGTCCACCATGACTCTCTGCTTTTGCTGACTGGCTGACCAGCGTGTAATTAGTTGAGCCATATTTTTAACTGATATTGCGTAAAAGCCAGCTTAAGAAGCCATAGCTGCCCTATTTATACCCAGGGGCTAATGGCCTGTACCACTACACAGGGGGATTTCCTCCCAGAACTATACTAAGCCTGCCTTAGGCTCCACCAGTTAGGATTCACACGGATTAACCCAGCCATACATTACAGCTAGTACCATGCACCTCACATACTCTGTGACACAGGTGTTGCCTCTACTGAGAGTGCTCTGCATGGGAACAGTCTAAATCTGACCCAGGATCAGCCCCTCTCTCTCTCTATTCCTCTTTCTCCCTGTCTCACTATCACTCTCTCCTTCTTCCTCTCTCTTTCACTCTTTTTCTCTCTCTCTCTCTCTCTCTCTGTCTCTATCTAACTGTCTCTTTGTCTTTGTCTCTGCCTCCCCACTCCCTCTCTCTCTCTCTTTCTGTCTCACTCTCTTATCCTTTCTCCACCTTTCTCTTTCACTCTTTCTATTTGTCTCTATCACATTGCCCCCCACCCCCCCTCTGTCTCTCTCAGTCTCCCCCTTTCTCTCCCAGTTTTTCTCCCCCTCACTCTCTTTCTCCCTCCCTCTCTCTCTTCCTTTCTCCCCTCCTCTCTCTCTGTCTTGCATGTGTGTAATAGTGTGTACAGGAAGGTGGTGTTAATAGTAGCTCTAAGTCCATCCTCATTGTATTGCATGGGCATGGGCAGGGCTGCTGGCTCATCCTGTAAGAATGGGTCAGTCCCAGGGCTGACCTGGCCCTCTGCCCATAAGCTTGGGGCCATATCACCTGTCCTTTATCAGCTTAGGCTCCTCTGGAGTAAGCACAGGCCTAGTAGTACTACCTACCCCTCCCTCTCCCTCCCTCCATCCTCTTTCTCTCTCTCTCTCCCTCCTTCTGTCCTGTCATTGTCACTAGCTGAGAGTGTTCACTATGGCCATGCCCTCTGCCTCTCTGATACTCTCTGTTGAGATGTGTTACATTCAGCAACAAATTTCTGCTGCATCAGACGCTGGTCAGAGCACCCCTCCCCTCTCCCCCCACACTGAAACGTGAGCAGACACTTGATATGAGCCTGTGAGGGCACCGACGGGCAAAGTACAACAGTGTGATTTAAAACGCCGAAGGAGCCGTGTTCTGTAACGCTCTCAAAGTGTCACATCTTTTATGTTCCTGCTTTACATTGTTGGGTGGGCGCAGCTTGACTCATGTCTGACTTTTGAGTTTACGACTTTATGCACAGAACGAGGAAAATGGAAAAAGTGATGAAAACTTTTAGAACTATTTCTTGATTACTCCTTGTAAGTATATGTGTATAAGTACTATGTGCGTAAGGATGTGTAACTTGGGTGCTAAATTTCAGCGTATAGTCATTTCCTGATCTTCTTATTTTCACTACCTTTGGTGAACTTTGTAATTGACTTATTTCATTTCTTTCATTATGAGTAGCACATTTCTAATTTTACTCTGACATTTACAACAAGTAGCACTGATTGGATCATGTTTCCTTTAGTTTTGTGTAGAAAAAATATCTTGTTTGCGTCTGACCTGCTGACAGTAATTTTTATCTTAGATTTAATTTAATTTTAGCAGTTAATCTTGTGTGCTGTGCATGTTTATTTTCGATGATTTAAAATTAATTAAGGTCGTATTAGGCCCTATAAATCTACACAAATATAGTACTAAAAATATATGCACAAAAAGTAATTTAAAGTTTCTTCTATTGTGTGCAACAAGTTTGATTTCTAGACAATTGCTTTTCTCATCCTTATTGATGTGATTGTAAGGAGCCCACACATTTAGTCACAGTTGCAGACAGCATTGAGGCCCACACAGCCAACTTTCACTTCACAAAAACCCATTGAGTTTGAGAGAAAAGAGTATTCCCCCAAATGTCACCGGAGACGCGCCCTGTTGGCGGAGCTTGAGTGCGTGTCTCTCTGTGGCCTTGTGCTAGATGCTAAACACATTTCCCTGTCTGATTAGCTTTTCACTTGATGGAGGTTGACAAGTTAGACAAGGTTAGCCTGCAATTGACTGTGGCTGGTTGTATTCTCTTCATTTTCAGTCAGTTTCGGAGCTTAAAAAGATGTACTTACAGCCCTGAAAGAACAGCATATGTGGTGTGTGGTAATTAAACTGCTATTACCATTTGATTGCTTCATTATATTCAATTTTCCTCCCCCGTGCTTCTCTGGTTTACACTTCTGTATTGGCGTTCGCTGATGAGAATTAACATCTGAAGTAGCATTGTACTAATATTACCTTATGTGAGCAGATCCAGTCACAAGAGGTCATAGGCTAGTCTAGTGTTTGTGCCAGTCCCAAGTCTGCACATAAATGTTTTGTCAGAACTGCATTTATACCTAGTTAATACACATTTCGCCGTAGGTGGTATATGTAGTGGCAAAAATATACAATATTTTACTATGTATTACACATTTTCATAAAAACTACATATCTTGAGTTGCTTGTCAGTTAATTCTTGACAGTGGGAGAATTGTTTGTTCAAATGCACATGATCGGTTTTATGATATTTTTAATGGAAAATGCTGACTTATAACTTGACCTGATCTTGCTATATACTTTCCCCCAGCCAGATAGATATATTAAATGCAATACTGTGGAACATTCCAGACAAAGCAGTATCATATTTATGGAGACAATGGCAGACCATCCACCTAGAAAGTTACGTAGTGAACCTTTAATAGTTCCTTTAAGCATATATTTAGAACAATTGTGAGCAATGTTTTCCCATCTATATCTATTCTAAACTAGCAGTCTGAACTCTCAATTTTATCAAACTCTTTGCTTGCAGGTATAAATAAAGTTACCTGAACTTGAACCTGAAGCATTATTATAACTCACTGTTCCTCAGTGTCATTTCTCAATTTTACCCCAAGTCACCTAGCTTGCCACCCCTCTGTTCTGTAGATACACTGTCTGCCTTGGCTCTTGTCCTGGTTTAGCCTTTCTCGCGCGCTGTAGTTTTTTAGACACGGCACTGTGAATGAACTCTCCTAATAAGCTGTACCCGCCATGCCAGCACTCCACCTCACTTCACCAGCTGAATCATTCAAATCAAACCCTTCTGTGCTCTCCCGCCGTGCCCTCTCTACCCCCCATCCCCTAGCTTTCACATGTAAACTTACAAATAGAAGAAAACTGTGTTGTTTTTCTTAAATATGTGATAGATTTGAGGTTTAGCTTTGACTCAGACGCTGTAGAAAAAGTGTGTAGGATGGAGTTCCATACCACGTCCCTCCCCAAATCAACCGTCTCCTCCAACTAAAGAAATTAAACCAGCCAAATCAGTCTAATTATATGAATATTGCATTGTATTGTTGAATATTCTCTACTCCCTCCACAAGCTGCCTCTCAGACTATATAGCCAGACGGTATATGATATATGTATGCATGTTTGTATACTGATTAAAAGCAAGTGGGCGGCAGAAAGCAACTGGTCTGCCTGCCTGTGTAGCTCGGCATAGCATGTTTCACAGTGCTAGATATTACTCATTTCCTTAGCCCTTTTTGCACACACACAATTCACACACACACACACACTTCAGTACGGGCTTTCTCTCCCTTACTTCACTTTGGTGGGCTGCTACACAGATCAGAAGGAGCAGGTTTATGTTGAAGTCTAGTAGGATTTTTACTCTACGGGAGGGGGCATTGGATGGGGTAATAAACTTTGGGAATTGGAGTGAACTGGTGACAGCTTTGGGGCTTCTACTGCAAGAAAGGTCAGTTCTTATGTCAATCCTTGTCTGTGTAAGAACAGAAGATCGATACTGCGTTAAAGATGTAATTTGAATTTTGTGAGTGAAAATGAAAATATTGTGGATTCAAATGTGCAGTTCTGTTTTTCTTGTGGTCTGTAGTCATAAGTGTTAGTGGTGGAGTCAGACAGTTCTCCTAAGAAAAGGCGGGATAAAGAGTAGGAGTGCAAAAAGGTTGTGATAGAAACTGACAATTTTTTTTTTTTTTTTTTTTTGAGCGGTGTTTAGTGTACAACATCTTAGATGGATTTTTGATTGCTGTTCATTCATTTGAGATAGATTGTTGCATGTTTACAAATCAAAGGCATTTCTCTCTGTAAGTGAAGTGGCACCTCCTTTAGTCTGCAATGTATGGGGAGCAGTAGTTCCAGCTTAAGTGTAGGAGTGTTTGTGTTATAGAACACATCGCTATCTACAAACTCCTCCACATGCACAATGGGACGGTTTGTTTCCTGTTACTTTTGCCTAACTCCATAACACGGCTGTTCTTTAAGTGCATTTTATCTTCAATATCTCTCTATACAGTATTCATATTTTTAGAAAGGAAGGTCAGATTAGTGGGCAGTACCAGTGACTTTGAGATAATGCTACATATTTAAAATCAAATCATTCTTTCTGTCTGAACTCTGAAGTTAATGTAAACAGACATCTCTGTGCAAGATACACATTTTTGAAGTTTTATTCAAGATCATTAGTACTTAGTACCGTGTTTACTCATACAAGTTTTGGTTTGTGTCAAATTGCGGTTTCTGTCAAACGTGAAGTGAAATGATTTTACTTATATTAGGTATCTCATTCACCATGTTAAATGTAATATACTGAATTACTAAATACTGTATGTGGGGCCAAATTCATACTGTATTATTTTCTTGACTTGCCTCACTACAGAAGTAAGGCAGGCTTGGTACTTTTTTGACTGTTAGTTGTAATATATATTGTGAGAATCATAGGCCAGAATGATGAAAAATTAGGAGTGTTGCCATAGCAATTAACAATTTAACACAAAAAATATGTTTTCAACACATTTCACTATAACCACTTATAATTAAGAAGTAACAAAGCATTAATAAATATTCTATTAACCGCATTTTTACATTTTAAACTATTTATAATTTCTGTGTAGACTCACTCTACAATTTTATTTTTAATATTGTTATAATGCATTCTATTCTATACATTTTTGATTAGTTTTGATACTGTTGCTAATGTCCCTATATTACCTTGTTGTCTAAAGCTGTGGTCAAATCTGAGTGATTTTCCCACGTCCTTGTGTCTGTCTGTTTGCCCAGTAAGTTTGTTTTCGACAGTGTCTCCCACTCCTCTCACTGCCCAGTTTGCAGCTTTCCACACAGATGCACAAACAACTTGTTCCACTTTTTTTCCCTCCTAACACTTATTCCATTTTTGGACCGAGTCACTTGATGAGCAACAGTTTTTACCCCGCCTCTCTCTTTCTTTCTCTTTCTTTCTCTCTTTCACTCTCTCTCCCTCCATCTTCGGCGGAGTATCCCCATCTAACCTCATCTAACCGGCTGGATGTGAGTACGCGCGTGTGTGTATGTGTGTGTTTGAGGAGGCAGTTGCCATAGCGACCGTGTGGCGGATGGCGAGGCGACGGGGAGCTGGTACGGGCTCGTTGAGACAGACTTGTGCCGGGTGAAGTTGGGAGCATGGCAATGACGTGTTCCAATGGTGCTGCCGCTGTTTTTGGTGGGCTTTTTCAGAACAGCTGGGCAGGCCACGAACCATCATCACCAATCATCACTTTAAATTAAAAACATTTTGGACACGGTGGTGCTAAAATGTTGGAAGAATTCGCCTGGCTCCCCCGCACTTCTCACTGAATGAAACAAGGCTGCAAAATCTCTGACACTTTGAGGAACACAAACATGCTAAACAAATAAACAAAATTACTCCAGATAAAATGCATAGATGTTTTCTATGTGAGTATAATCTCCCTTGCTGTGACAGATAATTACTATGCAAAGGCACATGCGCTTGGCACTACTGGTTTTAGCCTAATAATATGAATGTTTGTAGCACTTTTTTGCAATTTAAGTTTTTATTAAAATTTAAACAAACACTAATACAGCATAGACTAAGAGAAAAAAAAATACAAAAATGCAAATGCAAAACTACACACTCTCTTGTGTGTAGTACATAATTAAGATTTTAAAGAAGAAAGGAATGCCTCATCATCATATCTGTATGCAAATATGATTTCTTGCCATTTTGTAATTTCAACACTCACAGCTGAAAATATGCTCTATATCTGTCAATGGTATAATGCATTGCTGATAAACCATACTATCTAAATGTTTAGCTTCAAAGTGGGGTGGTGACCAGTTCGATCACTAGGGGGTAGCAGTAGCTCAAGGGAGAATTTGAGTCTCATGTTGTGTGTCTGTGTGTGTGTGAGAGACAGGGGTGCTAGTAGTAAGCTTACAGGAGTATGAAGAGGCAGCGAGGGTGTCGAGGGGGTGGTTCGTGAAAGTGCTGCAAAAACATATCTACATATTCCAATCATCCCCGAGAGCCAGAGATGAAAACACTCCCGCTGAGAGTGTTCTACGCTCAAACACAGCGCTGGCTCTGAACTTCACTGGCTGCAAATCATATTTTTAGCCCGGTCGTGGGAGTAATGTGTTTGAATGAACGAGTAAGTTGGGTAGTTTCAGGACCTCAGCGGGGAGCTCAGATAATGACTAATGAGCAACAGTTGTCATGGAGTTGGGGTCTGTCACCTTCCACAACCTCAGGAGTTGTGGAGTTGGTGGATCTCTCTCCAACTGTGTGAAGGCGTGAGTGTTAAAATGTGATGTGAGACTAATCCCTGGTGTTTGTCTTTCAGGTGAGTGCTGCTTCAGTGCACAAGGCTCCACAGTGATCGCACAGGGATGCTCCTCTATCGCCGCCCGTTCTTCTCCCGTGAGGCTCATGTGACCTAGCCACACCCACTCTCAGGGGGCCACACCCACTCACAGGGGGCCCTCCTCCGCTGGAGCCCATCCATGAATCCCAGTCCCGAACGCGGCAAAGAGTGCCTCCCCCCCAAGAAGAGGGAGTCTCGACAAGGGTCTTCAGATCTGCCCCTGGATGAGTTCAAACCCCCTGTGCCACTACGGGTTAGGCCCAGCACAGGGAGGGGGGAGGGGGCCAGAGAGGCCAGTGACAGGGTCCTGACTAACCCCAACAGCCACCTCCTCCACACCCCTCCTCCTCTGCCCACTCCTGCCCCCAGCTTACCCCTGCCGCTGCCATGGCACCTGGGCTACTCCCCATCAGTGTCCCTGCCCCTGTTCTCTGGGCAGGTGGAGAGGAGGGGGGCGGGCTCTCCGGCCTGGAGAGATGACCCTTTGACCTCAACTTTACCTCACCACTCTCGCTGGAACAGAGGGGAGGGGCTCCTGTCACTGCCTCCCCCTCCATCCTCCTCCTCTTCCTCATTTAAAGCCCCCTTCCCCGCAGATTCCAGGGAGATGTGGTCCTACATGAACAGTGGCCGCAGGGATTACAGCTCGTCTCTGTTCCCCCCGTCCTACCTGTTTGGGCACCACTCTCTGTACTCACAGGACACAGCCTTAGCTGATCCCAGACACAGGTATGCGGGAAAGAGGCCCAATGGTCTGGATGGTCCTGGCAGCAGGACTGCCACCTCCTCCAAGCCTCTGCTGGGAGAATATGGGAACGATAGCAGCCGGCTGGACATCAGTCCACACAGCACTCACACCAACGGAGCGCGCAGACACCAAGAGAATCTGTCCTCTCTGTGCCCGTCTGCAGGGCTCTTCCTGAGTGATTCGGCTGCTCAGGAAGAGCCACATTCCTCCCTGCAGGACACACATGGACATGCCCACGTACACTCACACGGACAAACACACGGACATGCACACGCACTAGTGAAGAGCAGCTCCAGTCTGCTCTCTCCCAGTGGCCATCCTCTCGGAGCAGACACCCGGGTGGGGAGAGGGGACCTGTTAGACCCTTTAGGGGTTTCAACAGCCGAAGCACAGGTTTATTACTCTTTAGGAATGTCTCAGAACTATCCCCTCTACAGCCCCTCAGGTACCCCTCTGTACAACCTGCACAGGGACCCCGGGCCTAGGCAGCACGCCGTCCGGAGCACCCCCCACTCACCTCTGGGTGTGTCCAACAATCACGAGCGGCCCCAAAGAGACAGAGAACAGGAGAGGGACAGAGACAGAAGTAAGGACAAAGACAAGCACTTACCACAGCACAGAGACCAACAGAGGGACAGTGAGCCCGAGCGGAGACGGGACAGGGCAAGGGGAAGGGACCTGTCTCCTGGCCGCGCTCACTCGTCGCCCCCTGCACTCCTACCTCACTTCACCAAGGGGTCTTTGATCGAGCTGGCCGGAGGGCGGCTGAAGCGCGTGGAGGAGCTGAGGACTGAGGACTTCCTGAGGAGCGCAGACACCTCTCCAGACCTGCACCTCAGCACCTGCAAAGTCCTGCTCATCTCCCCCAGCAGCACCCATGGGTTCAGCCACATGCAAGTGCACCTCACCGACCGCAACACTCAGGTCAGTAAGATGGTCAATGTAGTAAATTCATATAAAGGGTAAAGATTATACCACATATTTGTAGCCTATAATTGTTTTTGATGAAATAACAAAGATTAAACAGAATGGAAAATCCACATCCAGAATGAACCTGAACATTTAGTCGGTCAGTATATTCACCTGTGTCTTAATGCCCAGTGAAACTCTGATCTGTGAGAAAGTGAGAATGATTTTGTGATGTAATAGCGAAAATACAATATATCAAATAACTTGCAATTATGCGTAGCCCTTTGTAAATGATGTTTTTAAAATGTGCTATACAAGAGAATTTTACCTTCAAACTGTATTTTGCAGTTCAACTCTATCTTTTCCTGTGGACACGAGATGCCATCAAGTAATGAACCAATTTTAAATCCTGTCTTTCTGTCTTATTTAGGAGTTACTGAAGGTTCTGGTGGAGTACCCGTTCTTCGTTCGGGACAGGGGCTGGTCTTCTTGCTGTCCACAGAAAACCCTGCAGCTGTATGGTCTTTCGTGTCGCCAGCTCTCCGAGGGGGATGTGTGTCTGGCCCTCACCCCGACCCCTACCCCCACTCACCGGGCGCGTCCCAGGCCCCACCGCACCCAGTCCTCCTCCTCCTCCTCCAGAACGCACAGAGAGGACATGCCCCCTCCGCCTCCTCCTCCGCCCCTTCCTCACCACACCCCCACCACCGTCCCACCACCAACTCCGCGCTCCTTGGTCACCTCAGAGACGGACAGCAGGGGGCAGTCTCGTCCACGTAAGCGGCGCTGGTCTGCCCCCGACACCTTCCCCTCCACTGGAACTGAAAAAAGCGTTTTGGATTTACCTCAAGGCTCAAAGCTGATGAAGTGGCAGTAGAATATTGCACATTTTAGCACACACACAAACACACACCCTGCTTGTTACTCTCAAACTTGGGAGAACACAAGGTGGGGTTGCAGGGAAGGAATTAATGTCATGATTTTTACGGGTGCCCAAAATGATTAAAACCACCTTAGCTCAGTCCTGAGAGGAGCAGTTGAAGATGGCTCTTTAGAGACACGTTTAGTGAGACAATCAAAGCACTTGTCTGTGTTCACTGTTTTTGTAATGGTTGTCCCACACACCTACTTAACAACAGTGATTCGGCAGGGTATCGATTTTCAACCAGTGTTAAGGCTATGGAACAAGTGCATATAAATATACATATGAAGACTATACAGTATATATATATTACATTACTGATGTTGTATACAGTAAATATGCTAAACTAATGCAATCTCTGTCAGTATTGCAATGCATTTGTTTTATTTTTTTTTTATTTTTTCTTGCTTTGAAGCCGCTGAGTCGGCCTGGGTAGGCAAGATGAATGTATAAGCAACTCTTTTCGCCTTTTTCTTCTCGTCACCAGGAGTCTTTGCAGTCCAGCGTTCATCAAGGCATTACCGTCCAATCTGTTCTTAACATTGTCTCTAGGAAAAAGGGAGAACACTAATGAAAACTGCGTAACAGACAATCCCACCCACACAGTCAGGCAGGCAGGCAGACCGCGCTGTGTCACATCCTCCTCACTCGTGGTGTTTTTCCATTAAAACTTACGGATGGGAATAGTAGAAGTGGCTTAATAGTAATGGTGCTAATAACACGTTGGAACAGGATGCTTTGTGAATGCTCTCGACCCCTGTGTTCTGTTCCCATCTCATTTGACGTACTGTATGTCGGAAGGCAGGGACACGATGAAAGTATTTTAAAATCAGATACGGGTATATCCTCTGATTCAGCACACTCTCTCACTTTAGTTCTTGTGTTTTTTTATTTGGAAATTTGACCTGTTGATTTGTTTTCTTTTTAAATGTAATAGCTACAAAAATGTATATTTTTAAAATTGTGACTCTGTTTTATGATGTTCGCTAGAAATAAAAAACAAAAAGCTTTATAGATTTAATCTTAGGTGTTGATTTATTTTCTGCACTAAATGTTATAAGTGATTATTTATACAGAGATCTTAACAAAGAACACCACAAAAATGTCAAAATGATCACATTAAGCAGGTTTAACAAGAATGCCCTTACATACAAACTGCATTGTTTATCCATAGGTTACAGAGTTATGGAAAAATGGGCCAGTTGCCATAAAAATTAGCAGTCTAAAACAAAACGCTACATCTTTTGAGTGGTGAAAAGTCCTAAATATGTCCCCTGTAACAGGAAACTGAAACTCATGAATAGTGGATGGACAGTAAAACAGGAAGAATATTGTTTTATTTTACACAGTAATAGTTTAGGTTTAGCAAAGCCACAGTTTTCACCTCTTGCTACACAGACATATTTGTTCTTTGTCAGGATGAATAATGCTTTGTTTCACTCCTACCCGGATATCCCACTGGGGTTGGGCTTGTCCCCTGTCTCGCTCTCCTCAGTGTCCTCTTCGTGAAACTGACGGAACAGCTCCTCTGCAAACACTGGCACCACCTGCCATGTGACGGTAAGAGACACGGGTTACTGAGGACATCTGGTGGATACAGTACAACATTGCAGCTCTTCAAGTAGTGCCAAATGCAGGCCAAAATCAATGCTAACTTCATTCATTTCAGTTGTTCAATTCTTTTACCTATACAGTGCACAGTAATTAAGTGCAAAGTAACTAAAGTTAAGTATCTTGGTTGGTGGTTGTTTCTGTGATTGTCTTAATAAATCATACAGATTTCATGTACAATTACAAATTTTTGAAGTTTTTCATGCAAGCAGTAGTAATGTTTGTTATTTTTACATTATATCATTACATAACTATTGCACTACAAAATAACATAATAAACATATAAATGCTGGTTATTTTTACCATTTTAAGCCATTGCACTATGGAAGCAAAATATATATGTCTCTATAATTAGTTCTGAATTATGTTATTTGAATTTACTTACCTCTGCCATGATAAGTTTCCTTATTTTGGGTACACTGGGGTCTGGATACTCTTCACCAAAGCACAGCTCAATCTTATACAATGGAACAGGCCCCTTCCCTCCTATGAATCTCTGAAGCTCTGCCCACATACATATCAGCATATAAAATTAAAATAAGTATTATGCATTTATATTTATTTATTTCTATATTATGCAAAATTGGTCTTTGTGAGCTTTAAGCCATGTTAAAATGCTATTACCTCATCCAAAACCTACCCAGAGTTGTGTTTTGTTTTACCCTTTATTGTTTGTCTTCAATTCCTTTAAAACAAAGTGGAGCACTTCCTGTATTACTATATGACATCACAAGGTGGAACAGAGTGTTTTCAGATTGAGAGAAGAACACAGCATAGATATATGCAGGATTTGTGTGAAACATTTGTGAAACAGAACACAACTCCTGGTATGATTTGGATAAGGAAACATTATAACAGATCAGAAAATAGCGTAATATTAACCCTTTAAACTCAAGATGCCATTTGACTTACGGCTGAGAAATACAGGCACATCCAGTAGTTTAAAGGTCTTGTCTCTGTCCAGCTTGTTGGGCAGGTCTGTGTGTGGAGCCTGGGGGCCATACCAGTACACCCTTCCCTGTGAATACAGATGAAGTCAAATATTAGCATTAACATCACTGAGTAAAGAAACATAACTACTTTGTAAATATTGACCATGAACAGTGAATAGAAGTGCAATTCATTTTATTGTCTTTGAGTTACCACAGTTTGCAATCAGCTCAAATATTACAAACTTTCAGAGTTTTGTTTTTTAATGTATAATTTAAAAATGTATAATGTGTATGTATAATGTATTATAACTAGTTATGACTGTGAAACTGGTCCTGCTCTAGTCGATAGAAATTGCGTTCTTCAAAAACAAAACTTAAGTTTGAATACGCTGTTTGCAGATATAGCATTTTCAAAACGATAAAAGGTAATATGGTGATCTGAATATATAATCTGTTAGAAGTGTAATACCCCATAGTGTTATACCCCCATTTAACATTATTATTATTTATCTTTATTTATACAAAGAACGCCCAATAAGAACACCAGATGGCCTTATCTAAAACTATTTTTTAAGTAAACAAAAAAGGCATGAATAATTTTCTTCAGCTGAAGAGTTACAACCAATAAATACATGTAACACGCTGCAAGAACACATTTGATTTTAAACACCAACTCTAGTCATTTACTATTTAAAATCTCCCTTTGTGTACTATTACCCTAATATGTACCTGGAATGACCTTAGATGACCTGTGCCAACTCATTTCTGTCATCTTTACCTGACAGAAGCGTTTGATGAAAACTCCGTCCGGGGCGATCCACACCAGTACGCCCCTCTCCAGGTGACAGAGGAGGCGTGCCATGGTCTCGGCCATACCCGCGGGCAGGGCCAGGAGGGCGGGGGAGGGGAAGGACAGCTGCTCGGCCGTGCATGTACCGTAGATCTGCTCATTCCCCAACGGGACCCGGCCCTGTAAAATGAAACACCCATCTGGACTCTTGGTGGTCACCTGCATCACCTTCACGCCCTGGTACAGCAACGTCACCTGCATCCGGAAATCTGGACACAAAGAACGTCAGTGCTTGAGGCGGGAGAGATACCAAAAAATGTATGATACTGAAATTGTTGTTTTGGAGATATGCACAATTAGAATGTCAAGTTTATCTATGTCTATAATTAAAACTTGAAATGACAACAAAAAGAGTTGATTAAAAACAAACTGAACAGAAATGTCTATAGTGTAATAAGTGCATACATGATATTTCTGCCTTTTTTCCAGTTCAAATTTTGTGTGATACATCCATCAATATCTATCTTTCACAATAGTATCCGAAAATGGTGCAATTTTTCAACCCCAAAGGCATCATGTCAGTTAAAAGAACTTTAAAGTATAACAATAATATGGCAAGTTTGTGAAGCCATCACCTTACAAATCATGATAAATTTGTCTTTTTTTCTCAGTATTTATATAGGCCTATCCATCTGAGATTAAATGAGGTGAATGTGAATGTAAAATGTTTAGTTTCTGCGTCTTCTTAGTGCCGATTTAGTCTAGCCCTGTTTAAATTCAGATCTGGTTAGGACTTGCTTTTCTTATATCCCAGTTTAGGCGTTATTTAATCCCAATTTTGCCTTTAAACTGGGGTAGGTTTAGTTTCGTCCTGTCTTTCCTATACAGCTGGATTTCTTTCATGTTGAAATTTCACATCAAATGCATTGCTTCTATAAATCTATGGTTCTCAAATGATGGTATTATAATAATAATAATAAAACCTGGTTACATTTAAGTTGTAGTAAGAATTAGATTATTAGAATTATAGTTATAATTACCTGTTACACTTGTTGCAGGGTTGATAAATAGCACAGGAGCATGGGGCAGATTTGAAGGTGTGTTTTCTTTTCTTTCACAATACATATGCTCCCTCAGCGGATGGTCTGAAAACAGAATAAAATGTTTTGTTTTGTTGCAGATACACGACAGCACTTCAAGGCATATTTCCTATTCTTTCTTACCAGTACTTGGGGATCTTTCTTTATGTAGTACTTTTTGAATTGATTCTCTCTGTTGATGCTGCTAAAACATACACAAATTACAAGCCTAGATAATTGAAGTTGTAAACTGAAATGATTCCAATATAGAGTATGGGACATTGTGGCCAAGTTTTGTTATTGAATATATTACGTGATAGCTGTCCGACAAGGCAGGGTGTTTTGGGGGTAATATCTTCCCTGGATCTTTCTTCTGAACTGATTCTGCAAAAGTTGGACATAGTTAGAAAAGTCACCATTGTGTCAATTAGGGCGGCACAAAATGATGCAATTTAGTAAAGATCATCAAACTGCAAAGAATAAATTTTTTTATATGGTAGAATGTGTTGTCTTTAATAGAAAATTTCAGTTGGATTGTAGTTTAGACTTGTAGTTTACAAATACGCTTACATTAGTTTATACATCCATATTTCAGTCTTCTCTTGAATGTTAATGTGCTTGGAATTGTTTACAATGTGCACTCTAAACTGAATATTACTTTTTAAACACAAATCATAAATCTAATCTCAAATTGATTTTTTCCATACATATTAAGATCCTGTACCTGAACCTGGTTCTTCTTGGATCCTGTAGACTTTATAGGGTTCAGTGATGTCCAGTTGATTGCGTTCAGAGACCTCCACAAAATCTGTGCTTTTGTTGAGGGCGCAGCGGAGACGGGTCTTCCACATGGTCGGGTCAGCTTTGTCCCTGCCCTCTCTGTACTTGCCCTTGTACACTGCCCAAGCCTAGTGAGGAACAACGGTTCAAAGTTCAGTTATTACAAATTATAGTTTCACAATCAAAGGTAGCAGGTTTGACACATGAAATGGCCATTACTCAGGGACGACTGGGTTTAGTCCCTTCCATAACTTTTAATCCATTTGACCACATACCTTTGGGAAGTATAAAACCGAATTTAAATACTGCACTGAAGTGTTGAAATAGGCTAGTATGCCATAGTGAATGCAACTTTCATCCTTACATGGAAAACGATAGTTCACTTATGATGAAATGAAATTAGCAACTAAGTTTCAGGTTCAGAGTTGGATCTATATTAGAAAATATTAGAAATAAATCAGTACACTCTTTGAAAATATGCATTTGTTACGTTTATAACTAGGCTATTTGTGAAATGGTTTAATGTGTTAATCTTGATTTTATTTTAGCTGACATAACATACAATCCAGCCTGTATGTGTGAGTTCGACCCAAAAGGGAGAAGCCTATCAGATTACGTAATGGATATTAGTTAGTTCGTGTATTTTAGTATTAGTACATAATGCATTGAACAATAAAAGTTACTTCACATGCCTTTTAACACAGCACTTCAAGTGAATGTGCAGTTTTTTTTTTATTATCATTAAAATTACAATCGAACTGAACCTTAAAAAGAGCCGCATCCTCGGTCTGCTTGTAGTCCTTTTTGGCTGCGTGTTTCCACGGGATCCTGAACATGGTTTTGAGATCATCCTCCCAGCACAGCCCCTCGTATTGTCCGCTCTCTATCTGCGCTATCAGCCATTCTTTTAGGTGCAACTTGGAGCCTTCTTCCATCTTCATCGCATTATTCCTCAAAATTTTGTCTTCTTTAGTGCCATGCGTAACAGGTTTCGCTCACGTTTCCTATCAGTATAGACAGTTAAAATAGGTTATAATATTTAAATTAAGGCTGTCAAAATGGCAAATAATATTTTTTGGATTTTGTACGAATTACACAAATCCAGGTAGAGAGATCTCTCACCTCTTAAAAATTAAATGCAGAACTAGAGCACTGAAGTGAAGTGCGCCTTTTGAAGCGAAAGCGAAAGTGTGCGCGCTCTTCTAAACTTTCGGTTTCCACATGATTGCTGCAGGGTTGCAACACTCAGCTCTTAGTAAGTTGCATGAATGACAGCAGGAGGGACTCCTCACAACAACAAAGTCGTCTTTTTCAACATTTGGGACTTCTGAAAAACTAGTGAAATACGATTTGAAGTAGTACATATTGTAATAGTCACACTTAGTTAACACTTGGGAAAGTGTGTGGGTGGATGTTTATCACACTGTGGGGACTAAAACATGTAGGCCTATACGCACTCATGAGGACCTGCCTTTAGACACAAGGTAGTACTAATGACAGAGCAGCAGAGGTCAGCATTTCAGCACAAGTAACTATATTCATTATTACAATCCATAGTTATACTTTCTTACTTTCTACTTTCGTTCTTAGAATGCAATAACTATATTGCTTTCCCAAATTAAATGATACCTAATATATCTACAGTATCTACAAAATATCTACATTAACTTGATTCATTAACCCCAAAAAGTTACACAAAGCAAATATACAGCATAAGTGCCTCAGATGCAAGTGAGCCAGTTAAAATAACACACATTGGCATTATGCTTTTCATAAGACTGTGTGTGTGTGTGTTGTTCAGACCACACACACACACACTCACACACACACACACAGACAGATATCTAGGCATAAATCATAACCATATGTTTATCAAATGTGAACAACAATGTTCAAACAGGCCTACCCACATCCAAGCAGAAAATGTGCAAGAATGTGTGGCAAAAATTCACAATCCTTTGCCTTGGCACTTTTATTCATCTTTTTTGTCCAAATAAAACAAAACAGTTCATGATGGTTGTATTTGCTTTGTCTGCGTTTATTGTTGTATCAGTTCAGCAGTAAACCCTGGTTGAGACACGGGCGCTCTGTAAAAACAGGTGAGCCAGGCCTCAATAAATAAATCCATTTTAAATATGACAGATAATTTTACAGCAGAGACGTAAGAACCTGAAAATGTCTTGCACAATAGACAAGAGTTTGAGAACAAGAAGTTATGTCTTGTGTTAGGAATATTGTGGCCCTGGATTGATGTAACAGCTTAAAAAATAAAGGTGCAATATGTAACTTTTCTGGTGGAATGCCCTCTCCACATGTTATTGCTTTACCTATAATGCTAGGCAGTATAGCATTAAGCTTCTCTGTCTCCATGGATACAATCAGGTGATAGCAGGTCAGAAATGTATAGAGGTGAGTCGTGCTGTGTTTTTCAAGGCAATCATAGATTTGTGTAATGCCATACTGTGAATTAAAATTCTCAGGAAAAGCTATAACTTCCATGGAGACAAGGAGAACAGTTACATAGTACACTTAAATCAGGACAAGTGAAAATCTTCCATTTTAACAAAGTCGGTACATTTGAATGTACTAAAGTTCAATCCAGTACACAATTTACATGACTAAAGAAAAAAAAAGTTGTCAATGTGCACCTGTAGTTCTTGTGTGTGGATAAAAAAATGCAGCATTACATATATTTAACACATGTGAAAATAAATACAGTTTGTTTGAAAAAAAAAATATTTACACAGTATTGTACATAAAATAATTCAGAATTTTCATCCTGGTTGGTCATCATAAAAATATATTTATATAAACTAAAATCACTGAAAAAACTACAAAAAATAGTGATATAAACAAAGTATTGTTGATTGTAAAATATACAGTACAGTTGAGGCTGGAAGTGTCTGATATTTGTCATTTTAATGAATGTCATCCTCTCACTTTTGTGGCTGGAGTCCATATTTGAGTGTGAATCACTGTCCTTTCATTTTCAAAATAAACCAAAAACAATGAATCTAAATCATTGATATATATTACTGACAGGGTTCATTGTTCTATTATCCATGGGTTTAAGAGTGATTTTGTACTGTTGCCAATTAACAATTCCAAAGTAACTTTTGTATGATGAAAATACCTCAAAATGGCACCAGTATACATGATGTTGAAACCCATGAATATTTATCTAACCTCACCACATAATCAGTCAAGAACAGTCATTTTGCCTGCCCCTATCTCAGTTGAACACTATAGGCCTATCTAATGTTGTCATATGAGCCCATGCACAGTAGACAGCACAAACATGAGGAGAGGGTCAGCTTGTGCGTATTTCTCAGTCAAAAATCTAAATGTTTCTCTCAGGTCAGTCCTCAGACTACGGAGTGGAAGTTGATGTCTAAGTTTAGTTTTTAAGACTAAAGTGGAAAGTCCTAGTGGCAGCCACAGGCCCTGACCACCATGTTGCGGTACTTTTTCAGAATGACGTTGGAGCTGTCGTCAAAGTAGAGCACGGAGATGGCATGGAGCTGCGTGGGAGCACAACATGGCTTAGGCACTGTGTCCGGATTGATAAAATGAACCTGGAAAACAGAGGAAGGCGGTAATTAGTTACATTTACTCCTTTATATTTCCTTTACTAAATCTTTTTGATCAAATTATACTTTTAAGTAATTTTACTCTCCTTAGTTTTTACTTATACTTGAGAAATATTATCTAAAAGTAAAAATACTCCTACTTGGGTGAAATGTTTGTCTAGTATTTCCTCTAATGTATTTACCAAATCTCTAAAATGAGTTTATATGAAAAGTAAAAAAAAAAAAAAAAAGTTCTAATCTTTGGAAAAGCCAGAATTTCATTACCAAACCTTAAACTATAATTCATATTCAAATAGGAACTAATAGTCTCAACAAGGAATTTCAATACATTCTTTGGATCCAAACTTTTTATGTTTTATTTGATTTTGATTATATGAATACAATTGTTATCTCCTCCACTCGCTGAAAAGTACTAATATGAAGTCAATGTACTCAAAAAGGCATGGTTTTCTGACAAAAAAACTGTATGATTAAAGCTTGGGTTTGCCCTCTGTACCCGGATGGTTCACTCACCAGCGTTTGCACAATGGCGTGGTTTGTGGCGTTCATGTAGGAGTTTAATGGGAAGGCACACTCTCCCTCACAGTAGTACGCCGCATAGCCCTCCGGAGCAATGATCCAGTCCTGAAATTCACAGTTACACAGTTACAAGCATAGTTATGATCACATCAACATGGGGCACCATTGACTCATATTTAGGGCATTGCATCAGCTCTTTGGTGCTTTACCTACTTTAAATTTCATGTACAAATCTTGTACAAATATCTTTTTTTTTCTTTATTATAATACATAGGCAATTCAGAGCATTCATAGTCAAGGCTAACTGGTATTGTTTGTCTTTAGAAAGGTTTTCTAGTGGGTCAATTACGATTACCACAATACCACAATACCACAATTAAGATAAGACATACTTCTTATTTAGTAACAGAATGTCATTTTCATATACAAATATACTTATACATATACTTCCATTACTATGAGGGCTTATATTCATTCTGATAAAGTTCAAAATAATACTAAAAGCTCAAGTTTTGTCCTATTAATGTGATTTTGTGCAATACTGATAACTGCTCAAATGAGTATATACTTTCAATATTAGTTTTACTATCGATTAGTATTTAATTTTCAATATTTCTGACCAGCCTATTTTTCACTAGTAAATCTTTAAAGATATATTTACTGGCAAGTTGAATAAAACTAGTTGTGGACAGATGGGAGAAATAAAGACACAAGCATTTGGAGTAGTAACTAAATTGTTTACACAAAGTTTACATAATGTGTGTACAAACCATTCTTCTATAATTGACATAGTCCTGTTAATAGCAAAAGACAATTTTATTTTGTCACCTGGACAAAAGTTTTAAAGTGAAAATGTTTCATCATCCATCTAAGTGGCTTCTTCACTTCAGAACTTAGCACTTAGATATAGTTCTGTTAAACTCTTCAATTATTTATCCAAGACAATCTATAAAATGTCAGACTTTGTACGGACTATTACTGCTGTTACCATCTTTAAAATGTTTTAAAAGCTGAGTCCAAGTCCATTAATTACTTCCTACAAACATGTTCCAGAATTATTACAGTGCATTATGAGCTGTGGATCTGTTAAACAAGCAGAAATAGAATCCATATTTGTTGGGTTAAAGAGGAGTAGTTACCTGCCACCCCAGGTCTCTGAAACTGACATACAGCTCGTGCTTCTTACAGGCCTGTTTCTGATCAGTGCTGCTGTTCTCTGTGTAACAAACAAGGACACGATTGTTATAAATTACAAATCCCATTCTTCAAATCGACCACAACACAAACTATTTACATCGTCAGACCTTAATTAGACAGAGATGGTTTAAACAATCAGACGTTAAGATTCTCTGACTAAATGTTAACATATAAACAAGTCCTGGAGCAAATCACCTCCAGATACATGCAACGTTGTGTAATTGTTTTAAATGAAGGGCCACCCTGTGCAGAGGTCACATTGACTCAACCAGATGTGACTCACTACATTTGACTAAAAACGCTTGATTTGTTCTCTCATATTTTCCCCATACTCTTGCGATTAAGCTTGTCTGTATGTGATCGAACGCTATCTTCCTCCCTGTGTTCTTTCATTGACCCCTGTGTCCCTGTGGTGCATTAGAGTGGTGCACACTGGGAATGATCAAGTACAACTGCTTCTCATCACTCAGTTAGCTCAGCACTGGTATCCAAAAAGTTCCATTTGGGCCATGTGTTGTGGCCCTGCTTTGGCCCGCAGAGCCCCACACGTGTTCTGCCATAAAAGCCAGCTATGCTTTACCTCCACACAGGGAACTTGGCCTGGCTCTGTGTAAATAAACAGAGAGCAGAGGGATATTTGACGCGGCAGCATTACGGTCTTGTGTTTCAGCTCTTCACATAAACTGTGGCCCCTCGCACCTTCATCACAAAGAAACACATATGCGGCTTCTACTTTATAGTTTGGGAATGATATCAATCTTGGTGTCTGTCTGTTTACACTTCAAGTAGTCATGGCTTGTATTATGCAAATAAGGACCACAAGTGGAAATCATCTGTGTCGCACTGATGTGTAACAGCCGACGCCAAGTTAAACCAAGAGTCAGCAAACATAATAACTGTACCTGCGACGTTGGCCATCCTCAGAGCTTCTTGGTTCTTTGCTGGTTTGGAGCGGTTGGAGTTCCTCTGCTTGTTTCCCCCGGACGCTGAGCGAATGCTGCGCAGGTGCACCTCTGTTGCTTTGAAGAAGGCCACCATGAAGGGCTGTTTATTCTGAGGCCCGCTGCGGCCAATCAGACCTGCCACACGAGGATTAATGCTTTCACCTTCAGGGGGAGACATAGAGCAGGTTCAAACAGGTGCTGCTACATGTACAAGGCCAATGTATACAATCAGAGGAGCCTGTGAAATCACTGGTATGCCTGACCTTCCCCTCACTCAGAGCAGAGCAGTTGCACACTCTCTCACTACCTCTCTCTGACCTTATCTGACCACAATGAAGCGTCCACTTAAAATCTACTGTATTTGTGTAGGTGTATGTGTGTACATGCATCTGCGTGCAGACTTCAGTCTCACTATCTGCTCTTCACACACAAGAATGTGCCTGATCCCTGTTTAGTGCTAAATCAAGGCTTCTGGTCGCCTCTGGCGGCGGGATGTCCCATGTGCCTGTCTGTACACGCTCACCCATAACCCTTCAAACCAAATCTAATGCAAATACACACAGCCCCCTCCCACGCCAGGAAAGCAATATTCAACTTATTTTTCTTCTACATGTAAGATTCTGTCATCCTGAAAGCACACAATAAGCTCTATAACTTTATCAAGTGATGATGTTTTCTCTGAGTAACATCCGAGGCGTAGATCTTATCTGTACCACTGTGCAGTGTATTTTCTGCTCCACTGCTGATGACACTGAGGGCATTATCAAAGACAGAGGACAAAGAGTGACTGATAACTGATATCAGTTTGATTTATGTGAGTGGTGACAATGCAGTGTCTATGGCTATAACAAAATGCAATCAGCCATCATCAGGAAGATGACACAATTCAAAAACATTGACGTACTATCATTTAAAATGACAACAAAGTAGCAAAACTATAGCATACAATGTAAATTATAATATGTCAGTTTACAACTGTATAAATGTAATAACACTGACCATTTTCTAAATTTCCATATAATGAAAACTGGTAAATGATTGATAGATCTTTAAGCATAGTGCATGAGTACAACTGACCACTGTTGCTCTCTAGGGCCAGCTGAAGACCCAGGTTGCGCCCCGGGTTCAGGACCCAGTGGTTACTTGTAGCTGTGATGTCGAACACGAGCCAGCCCTCCTCTGCTGCCCAGATCACCCGAGAGTCCAGCAGGAACAGGTCCGACTCTCTAAGAAGCACACAGGAGGGAAATGGTTACAAATTTACAGAACTAAAAATGTATAGATTATTTTTTTAATTGGATTACTACTGTTTTTAAAAAGTCATCTATAGTCACAATTTTGACTTCCCAATATTTCCTTAATATGTATATAGATATATTTATATTATGTATGGACAGGCCAAGTCTCATGGGAAAGCTCAAAGCCTCCAGAATTATTTCATTGAGTTGCAGAGGCTGCACTAGCACTGATTCATGATTGGCTGCAGATGTTTGGTTTTAGGTAGAGAGGAATCAGAAGAGAAAGGGTTCTTTTAGATTCAAACCAACTGGATTTCAGCACTGAAACTGGCAACCCAAATGAGAGACTTTTGCTTTCTGTTTGGACAATCATCAAGAGAACCAAAACACTAAATTATAACATAAACTTGGCCACCATGTCCAGTGTTTTAGAATGAAGAATAAATCAGCATTTCTCTGTGTTAAAGCATGCAACCCACTGTCCCTCAACAAATCTCTCCCATGGCATTGCTACTAATAAGACTAACTATATCTGAACATGTCCACCTTGTTTATGGGGACACAGTTAGGTCATGTTTATGAAATTTAAAAACTAAATCTTATGCATGACTACAAAAGTCAGTCTGCACTTCAGTGTAAAGCCAAGTGACCGGAACTGAAGAGGCAGAGCTCGGTGGTCAGAGGAGTGTGACGAGCGAAACAGTGGAAGAGATAGAGCAGAGCGCGAGAGGATGGAGGGGAGAGGGAGGGGGGTGAAAGAGCTCCAGATGGTGAGGCCCAGGAGAGCACTTCATTTTCTTAATTGACAATAATGGCTTTATAAACGTTTAGTCCTTTCATACAACACACACTGTCCATTATTTACTAGACTTGGATGGAGAGCAATAAAATTACTAGGTTTGAGACAATGTTGATATTGTATGCCACAATTAAAAATTATTTTAATTGTTTACCGTTTACAAATGTAATTGATGTTAATATAATATGAATAAGTTCCATGTTTAAAAACTAGAATAATTATAATTTTCCACCTTGTGATGTCATGTAGTAATACTCCACTCTGTTTTTAAACTCCATACACCTTCACTAGAATCATTTTGATAAGTTCTGCCCTGGAATTGCCAATCTCTAAAGAACTATAGGTAAAGGGAACTGTTAACTTGAAAACTAACCAACATGACATCACATGGTGGAACAGAGCATTATGAGCTTTGGAGATGTAGAGAGCTTAATAATAAAGGGTTACTCAAACATTTGTGAATGAAACAAAAAGCAACTCTATAAGAAGGCTTAAAGCTTGCAAGAGTCAATTTTGTGTAATATAGGTCCCATAAGAAAAACAATGACCTAGAAGAGAACATCAAGCATAAATAGCAATTTTCTGCATAATCCATCAGATATAATAGCTATTATCTTTGTTGGCAATTATCATGATTACAAAAAACGTACCACAAACGATTATCTACCACAAACAATCCAACCTTTTTTACTGATATATGATATTATTGTTTATTGTCCCATCCCTAAAAATTACATAAACTCTCATACAAACTAGAGAGCCAGCTCTTCAAAACAGCTGCATGAGAAGAGACTGTGAAATGTAACGCGTGAAATAGTGCATGTCCAAGTCCACCCTATTGTCCAGATACAAAGTGGATTGGACTAAAACGCCTTATTCTTCGCAGGGCCGTTTGTGTATTCTGACCTCTTTTCAAAGAAGGCAGATAGTGTGTCGAGAGCACAGGCCTGTCCCTGGCAAAGGAATAAATGACTTTGTTGTTCCCTTCGGACATCAGAAACCTTTAGTAAAACCATGTGGTCTCTCTCTGAACAGCACAGATTAAACACATACAAGGTGGGGCTACAGTTTGATTTGGCTCAGAAAGTTGGCTGATTACAACTGAGCCATTTTACATGCATTGAAATTGTTTATTTAAATGCAAATATAAACTGAAACTTCCAAAAGCAATGTTATGGCATGGGTGGTTGCGAAGAAGAAAGGTTTGAGTGGCTGGGGTGACGGATGTTTCTGGTGCAGCAGTGGTTTGGAGAGGAGGGTTTCGGCATATAGCTGAGAAAGCAGGATGATGATGGAAGGTAAGAGCGAAGATTCATAGAAAGTGACTGTCTTAGATGGAAAAAATATAGCAGGGAAAAATAAGCTGACATCAACTGGCAGCTGTCATTAATGAATGTACTAGAACAAACTTTAAAAAAAAATAAAAAATCATATAATATATACAGTTACTTCAATCCCATGTTGTGATGGACTGTGACATCACCAGCAGAACTGGTCAAGAAAATGTATATTCACCTGTCCGAGTGCTCCTCCAGCACCTGGTACACGCTGATGCGAAAGGTTTCATTGTCGAAACGCTCGTGGATGAAGTCTTTGTAAATCCTGAACTCAGCCGCAGTGACGGCCTCGCCCTCCGGGATCTTTGACAGGTCGAAGCGAAACTCCTTGTGATGCCGCCGGAGAGGGAAGAACTCTTTGTCATGCTCCACTGCAAAATAAAATATGTATATTTGTATTTATCATATGAGGGGCATATAGACTATTTTACACAGTTCACAGTTAGGTAAAACCATAAAAGGTATATTAGGTTCCTTTTTATATAGGAATAAACATTTGCAGCTGCCATATTAAATTTCTACTGTATATCTTCTGCCACACTCCATCACTTGTTAGCAGGAAACTGACAAAACTAGTTGGGTTAGTCCCAAACATAGATTATAGAGTATATGCAATACACATGTTGGCCCATGATTGAAGCTTTCATAAAAACATGTAGAAATGCAGCTGGTGTGCACAGCACCATGATAGAGAGACACAGGCCCAGTCTGACAGCTTTACGACCTCTTTTTCTTCTACTTCTTTTCCTCTGGACGCTCCAGAGAGTCGTCAAGGCTGCCCTTCATCTGGTTCTCATGAGTCGAGTGTTTCGGTGCGCCCCCATCTCTCTCCATCCCTCCATCTCTGCACCCCCTAGACTGGCCCCCATGACCCCAAAGCTCTCAGGTCTCCGCGGGACGTCCTGGGGTCAGGGCCTCGTCTCTCATCATGTCTTGCTTCTTCCTCGGGCTGCCTCTTTATCAACTGCCAGTCGGACCCCACACGCATAAACAAACACATGCGAGTGACCTTATATTAAAACAACACATTTGATTTAAAACCTTTGCATCCACATAATCCATCTCCAAAACACCACTCACTGATCTCACTGAATGATTTACAAAAAAAATATCTGAATGTAATTATATTTAAGTTAAAATTCAAGTTCACACTCCAAATTTATGGAGAAATATGAACTACTAACTAATACCTGAAGCACATGCATTTCCCTTTAACAAGGTAAATTCTACAGGCTTAGCAGGGTTTATACTTGATAAGACCCAAAAAAAGATGATGTATTTTGTTGTTTTGACAAAATAATTAAAGCTTTTACAATTTGATATTTAATACTATTAAGTTATGCTACTCTAATGTGAGAATTTTCTGAGAGTAAGAAAAAGAAAAAACATCAAAATAACAGCTAAAACATAATATAAAAAAGGGATGCCATTTAATGTAATTAGTCAGTCCTGTTGCTGTGCAGGTGCAGTGAGGTAAGTGTGAAAGTACAGTGTGACTTCCTACTCCGCACCTGCCACTTTCTCAGCGTGGCTTTGGGCTCTTGTTTTGCCTACACTCTGCATTTCTATTAAAGCCAGTTGGAGAAGTTGCGGGTACAAAGACTGCACTGTAAGCTGATTGGCCAGAGCAGGAGTAAAGAAGGATCTAATTACTGTTGAGTGAGGGACCGCTCTGCTCTCTGCTGGTCATTAGGCTGCCTGGCTTTGGGCTCACCATTGTCCTTCCTCTTCTGCAGGCACACATATGGTTTAAACACTCGCCTATAGAAAACAATACAGTTCAAGGCCAGTTCCTCATAACAGCGCTGCAACTCATTATCAACTTGTCCCACTTACGCTCAGCATCGGTCAGTGCTTTAAACTACATCCCACTTTCTGTCCACACTTGTGCCCGGCCTGTGAGGTGGGCGTCTCATCTATCAGGCCTTTCACCAGATTACTTTTTACAGCATGACGCTGAATGTGTTGACAGTGCATACATTTTGAGGTTGTTAGTGGCTAAAGCTGTTGGCAGTCATCGGCATGGTAACACTCTGTTCACACTTATCGCTGAACCAGGTGTAATTACCACTTAATGATCGGTGTGTGGGATTTAGACACATCAGCGAGGTGGCAGACTGCAGACAACTGGGATTAACAGAAGAGGGCAATGAAAATGATTAAAGACACACCCTGAGACCATGCATGTGCAGAAAACATGTTTTTTACAGGTTTTAGTTGTATGCCATATCTCACAGATCTCAGTTTTAACTCCTTTTAGAGCTGCAGGGGCTGTGTGCGGCCTTCACCCGCCCAGCGCAGGTGCACTCCCTCCGCACAGAGACCCAGAGACCTGTGCCTCAGAGCAGCCCGGCCCTTTACTGTAAAAGCGCTTTATCTTTGCTTGAGAAAGCAGCTGGCTGCTGCTGTGAAACACCCACACCAACTATTTCTATCACTTCATTTCGCATTTTCATTCCTCATAGACTGTCTGTAGACACTCCATTTATCTTTTATCAGTCAGAGAGCTAGAAGGTTTTGCCATTTCTGCATCCACTTTGTTCACAGTATATGGTAGTCATTAGACAAGGACCATAGTATTTAGAGGAAAGCGGGTGTCTTTATAACTTCCTTTGAAAGGAAGTGAGTAGCCATCACACCCCGTGTCACAAAGAGACTGTACCACAAACATGTCAGATAAGCTCTGAGCCTTCAGAGGCACAGGTGTTTCTGTAATCACCTCCAAATGCTCCTGCATGTTTATGAATGAAACATGCCGGCCTTTGATAAACTATCATTTAAGGTGTATGTAAACAGTTTGCTACTGGGCATCTCTTCTCTGTTTGAAGAAACCTGTAATCTGACTGATGATAGGCTGATGATAAAACATAAGGCCACATCATTGGTTTGTAGTCTCTGCATAGCTGCACAGCGCATATCTGAGAAACAGGGACAATGATTGCTTTATCACTCATCCCAAAATCAACAAGAGAGTGACTACTGTATAGTGTTAGCATCTACACAATTTATGCTTCCCTACAGAACTGCAGCTCTGAGTCTTGTTCAGCAGAGCACAGCTCAAGGCCAAACACAGAGCCATGTTTTCCTTGTACAGTGTTTCCTGGTCTCTCTGGCCCAGGACACTTCTCTCACACCTCAGGTCCCGCTGTAGCAGTGGACAGCCCTGACGGCTCACATTAGCTCAAGTGTCTGTCCCGCACCCTCACACCCCTCAGTCTAAACATGTCTGCTTCCGCTGCACAGTAGGGAGGGGGTCGCACCCTGCTCGCACCTCTCTAGGATGGAGGATTGGTTCAAATTAAAGAAAACTGTTAATATGTTCTATTACATTACACCTGGATTTTTATTTTTTTGTGGTTCTCGCATACACAAATATTATTCAAATAAAAACAGTGGATTGAATGAAAAGGTCAAAGAAGTTACACAAGGATCTTCTGTGGCATCTCAGTACTAAAGCTTACAAAACTAAAACCAAAGCAGGTCAAACAGGTCAAAGTTTCCATCCAGTAAACAGTGAAAATGGAAGAAATATTGGTCCTAAAGAAGACATGTTTGTTCAACACAGAGGGTCTGATCTCTGAGGAGCAGGGGACTACCCACAGTGGGGTGATTATCAGGTTTGGAAACATCCTGGCCACTGGCAATTTGTGATGACATCATGCGTGTGTGATGTATTTCTGCCGCTGTGAGGACAGGGTCATTGGAGTTTGATGCTATAACTTGCTTGCTCTTAATGACCATTAACTCACCACAGCCCTGTGCTGCTCAGCTGCCTTACAGGCCCATGCTCACGTATAAACAGCCACCACAGGAAGAGGAGTCCTTACATTTAAGACTTGTGGTCAGATCAAACCTTTGTGAGATCCTCAGCCTGAAGGCAATGGGGAGCCTGGATAAGATGAAACACAGCATTTTGGCCACTCTTTCTCAAGATTTATTAAGCACATTTGCTCTCTGAACTTATTACCTGTACTAACTTGTGCTTTCTTGCTATCATAGACCTTAAGCATATATAGAAAGGAACTTAATAATGAATTTCCCCACCATATTACTGTACTGTATATTGTCCTGGCTAACAACATGTTCAAAAACTAATTTGCACTATAATTGGCAAGTTAGTTATATGTTTTTGCACAGTGACAGGTATATAGGCAATATCTGTGTGTTAAAGAAGGAGTCCAAAAAGTATATTTTTCAACTAGGGGGGCAGTAGTATTTGATCTTCATTTCTCAAGAACTCTCTGTTCACACATCTGTGGCAACTTGGACAAAATTTTAATGTAGCTTGGGGCAGATAAAACTTAATCTGTTTGGTCTCGTGAGATGTATTTTTTACTTGCCTGACCTACAACATCCATTAGTTTTTGGATCAAATCTTGTGTCTACTTAACCACTGTCAAAAAAACTGGAAGAAAAACATCACAGCTCGTACATTAGGCACTTTCCCTTGAGGCAAAGGAAACATCAAAACCGCAGCCTAACTATGGGCAGTCACCATATTTTGGCATGTGATTTAATGTGGTGACAAACCTTACCATGCCAAGGAATAATATCCTCCACTGCTAATCCCTCCATAACCAGTGCACTTCCTCTCTTCGGCAGGATAAAACAACTTAAGAAACCACAGCTTTCTGACTTTCCCCCTCTCACTCTCCCTTTAACCTCTTGTTATTGGAGGTTCTTTAATTTGGTGAGTGAATAAGGCACACCCATTTCACCCTGTCAAGTCTCCCACTTCTTATAGACCTTTGAGACATTCACTTACTATGAGCACAGTGGCAGCATATGCCCATTTCCTGGCAACTACATACACCTTTTTACGATTTTGCTATGGCTCCCCGAAGGCAATACTAGTGACAAGGAAGCTGACACCAACATTTTAGCAGCTTTTGCTTAATATCAGCTTCTTCCTGCATTTTGACAGTATGAAAATAAATACAAAATTGCCTGCAAAAGTTCATACTGCACATTGCATGGATGTAATTTTTCACCGCCAATCATAAAAAAACACTTGCGTATAGTTGTTCCTAGGCTTTTATGGGCTTTGATTTTGGCTGTTGGATCTTGCACAGGAATCTGGCCAGTATTACAGGGTTCAGCTAACGCAATTTCCGCTAGGGTGAATACATCACCGGTGCAGCTGGTGACTGAAAGAGGTAGGTGGCTCATCTACAGAAATCGGACAGAATGTAAACACAAAGTCAGTGCATGTTGCCTTAAAAATGTCTGGTATTCTTTTATGATGCTTTCTAAAAATGTTTTATTTGTTTTGGTTTGAAAAGAACGAGGCTCCCTGGCTGCAATCACATGTGGATTTCACTGCTTGGTACCTGGGGTTGCAGATGTGCAGGGAGGGGAGTCTGAATGCACT